AGGTGCGGCAGGGTGAGAGGATTCACCAGAGTGAGGAGCAGAACAGGCAGATCTACTGAAATACACTCCTGCAGACAGGAGGGGTCTGCTGCGCCCTGTGGGTAGCTTCTTGGCCAGGGATGGAGCTCGAGCCACAGAGGCTATGGACAGCTTCACAGTGCTGTGCTTACCCCTTGCGCCACCAGGGAAACCCCCCCACCTCCTTTATTTTTTTTTTCCTGATTGCGGCATAGTTCTTTCTTTGTTCTGACATGACTAGCACAAATTCTGTGTTAATCCAGTCAAAGTAGTTTCATTTTTTTTTTTTTTAACTTGAGGTAACACAGAGAAACCCTTCCATTGTTTTGAAACAGAATAAGATCAAATACAGGGTAGTGTCCAACCATGGGGGCTGCCACAATGTTCCCTTCCAAGGTCATGGAGGAACCTCCTTTCTCTCCTGATGCTTGGAACAGTCATTCATACTGACTTTCTGGACAGCCCACCTTGCTGGGAGGGCTGGAGAGCCACCCTTACTCCTTTCTCTATAGTTATTCTTTCACTCTGCCCAGGTCTTAGAATAAAGTAGCAATTGTAACAGCTCTCAGGACTGAATGTGAAAGTTCATTCTTATGGGCCTCTCTGTTCTAACATCAATTCAAGTTTTTTCCAAGTGTGACTCACCATCTGTACCCAATCTCATGATGCCCGTTGACAATGCAGATTCTTAGTCTCCCTTTCCTTCCAGAATCAGAATCTCTGGGAGCAGACCTACAAATACATATCTTTGACAAGCAATCCTAGGAGTACATTAAAGTTTGGAACTACTGTTATTTGTACTAGTTCTGTATTTCTTTTCCTTCTCCCTCCTGTTTCCCTATATTTTTCTTCTTTCCTCATTTCTCTGACTCCTGCTTGCCTCTTTGCTCCCTCCTTCCTCCTTCTTAATACTAATGGTTCTGGTAGCTGGTTGAAGAGTTCTTTATTTTAAAACTTTTTAAGGTAACATTGGTTTACAACACTGTGTATGATCTAGATGTTTGGTTTCACACCTCTTCAGATCGTGATACCCTTCAGCATCCACTGCCAGAACCCGTAGTTCCTCACCATAGGCCATTCTGCTCCCTCCCTACTTTGTTCATGCCTACCTCCCCAGGCCCCTTCTGGTAGCCTCAATTCTGCAGCCATGTTTCTAGGATTTATTTTTGGTTTGGTTTTGTCTGGCCCTTCATTTTGTTTCTCTATATGCCACAAAATTTTGAATTTATTCATTATTTGTCTTTCTCCTTCTGACTTATTTTGCTTAGCATAATACCCTCCAGTTCCATCCATATTGTTTTAAAAGACAAGACTTCATTTTTTTTATAGCTGATGGTATTTCATTGTGTATATACACCCCATCTTCTTAATCCACTCATCTGTCCTTGGACACTTAGGTTATTTCATAACTTGACTGTTATAAATAGTGCTGTAATGATCGTAGGACTAGGTATATCCCTTTAATTACTGCTGTTACATTCTTTGAGATACATAGGAGTGAAATTGCTAGATCATATGTTAAATCTATTTTTAATATTTTGAGGAACCTCTCTCCTGTTTCCTGTAGGAACAGGACCATCTATATTCCAATGCAACAGTGTGCGGGGGTTCCTTTTATTTCACACCCTCACCAACGGTTGTGATTGTTGGTCTTTTTGGTATGGGCTATTCTCATAGGTGTGAGATGGTATCTCATTGTGATTTTGATTTGCACTTCCCTGGAGGTAAATGATGATGAGCATTTTTTTCTTGGCCTATTAACCATCTATATGCCTTCTTTGAAGAGGTGTCTGTTTAGCTCTTCCACACATTTTTTAATTTAATGTGTTTTTTTCTTCTTTTTTTCCTTCTTGAGTTGTATGAGTTCTTTGTAGATGTTGGCTAGTAGCCCTTCATCAAGTATATGACATGCAAATACTTTCTCCCATTCAGTGGGTGTTGTTTTGTTCAGCGATAGCTTCTTTTGCTCTGCCGAAACTTTTTAGTTTAATTTATTCCTATTTGTTTATTATTGTTTTTGTGTCCATCACAGTTGGAATCCAGTCCCCAAAGATAAGTCTGAAGCTAATATTTCCAAGTGTTTTGCCTGTGGTTTTTTTTAAAATGTATTTTATAGTTTCTGGTTTTATGTTCAAGTAGTTGGTCCATTATGAGTTAATGTTTGTCTATAGTGTTAGTGAGCCGTCTAGTTCTTTCCTTTTGCATGTGGCCATTCAGTTTTCTTAGCACCTTACATGGAAGAGACTTTTCTTTCTCCATTGTATACTCTTGGTTCCTTTGTTGTAGATTAAACAGTGTGGGCTTGGGCCTCCCTCATGGTACAGCGGGTTGAGCGCAGCACTGTGAAGCTGTCCAGAGCCTCTGCAGCACGGGTTCGATCCTAGCTGGCGAGAATCCCACATGGCGTGGCAGACCTCTCCGTCACGCCCGCTGTTCCCCTCAGCAGTGTATTTCGGTCCTTCTGCCTGTTGTGCTCCCTGCTCTGTCTCTGGTGAATTCTGTCACCCTCCCATGCCTCTGGCCTATACCCCAGTGCTTATATAAATAAATCTTTAAAAAAAACAAAAAACAAACAAACAAAAACAGTGTGGGCTTATTTCTGGGCTCTCAGTTATTTTCCATTGCTCTGTATGTCTGTTTTTATTCATACTGTTTTTGAATACTCTAGCTTTGTGATGTGATTTGAAGTCTCTAAGGTTGATAACTCAGTTCTTTTTATCAGGACTGTTTTGACTCTTTTTTTTTTTTTTTTTTAAGAGTTTCTATTTCTTCTTTTTTTTTTTTTAATGATTTATTTATTTATTTATACAAGCATTGGGTGCAGTCAGAAGCGCGGGAGGGTGAGAGAATTCACCAGAGCCAGAGTGGGGAGCAGAACTGGCAGAAGGACCGAGGTACACTGCTGAGGGGAGCAGCGGGCGGCAGGAGAGATCTGCACGCCATGTGGGACCCTCGCTAGTGGCCGGGGATTGAACTGGCGCTTCAGAGGCTGCGGGCAGCTTTGCAGCCCAGTGCTCAACCGCTGTGCCACCAGGGGAGGCCCAGGACTGTTTTGACTCTTCAGGATCTTTGGTGGTTCCACATAAATTTAGGAATGCTGTTGAAACTTTGGATAGGGATTGTATTGAACCCGTGTATTGCTTTGGGTAAGATGACCATTATAACAGTGTTAATTCTCTCAATCTGTTAGCAGGAATATCTTTCTTTTTTTGTTTTAATATTTTCTTTCTTTTTTTTTTTTAAGGTTTATTTATTTATGTATACAAGAATGGGGCTACAGGCCAGAGGTCCAGGGGGTGAGAGGATCACTAGAGACAGAGTGGGGAGCAGAACAGACAGACTGCGAAATACACTGCTGAGGGAAGCAGGGGGCACAGCAGGAGAGATCTGTGCGCCATGTGGGACCCTCACCGGAGGCCAGGGATCGAACCAGTGCTGCAGAGCTGGGGGCAGCTTCGCAGCCCAGAGCTCAACTGCTGCACCACCAGGGAGGCCCTAGCAGGAATATCTTTCCACTACTTTGTATCTTCTGTTACTTTCAACAATGTCTTATAGTCTTCTAGTTTTCTTCACACAGGTCTTTCACCTCCTTTGTTAAGTTTATTTCTGGGTTATAATTCTTTGAAGTGATAGTGAATGGGAATTCTTCATTTCTCTCTCTTTTAGTCCTGTGTTTAAACATGGGAATGCAACAAACTGTTATGTTGATTTTGTAGTGTGCTACTTAGTAGACACTAACTACATAATTTCTAATAGTTTTTTGGTGGGGTCTTTAGCATTTTCTATGTATATTATCATGATGCTGCAAATATTGATAGTTTTACTTCCTTTCCAATTTGGGTTCCTTTTACCCCCCTTTCTCTGACCTAATTGTTCTAGCTAGGATTTCCAATACCAGGTTGAATAGTAGTGATAAAAATGAACATCCTTGTCTTACCTGATGCCATAGGAAAATCTTTAAGTTTCATACAATTAAGTTTAATGTTAGCTGTGAATTTCTCATAATGGCCTTTATTATGTTTAGGTATGTTTTTCTATGCCCATCTTTTGAGATTTTTTTTTTAAGATTTATTTATTTATTTATACAAGCACTGGGTACAGTCAGAAGCATGGGAGGGTGAGAGAATTTACCAGAGTCAGAACGGAGAGCAAAGCAGGCAGAAGGACCACAGTACACTGCTGAGTGGAGCAGTGGGCGTGGCAAGAGAGGTCTGCACAACTTGTGGGACCCTCGCCGGTGGCTGGGGATTGAACCTGCGCTGCAGAGGCTGTGGGCAGCTTTGCAACCCAGCACTCAACTGCTGCACCAGCGGGGAGGACCTTCTGAGATATTTTTAATCATAAATGGATGTTGTATCTTAACAATTGCTCTCTCTATGTCTGTTGATATGATTTTTATTTTTCCTCTTGTTGATGTGATGAATTACATAGATCAAATTTCTTTTTTTAAAAGATTTATTTATTTGTGCATACAAAAACTGGGATATAGGCCAGAGGTGCGGGGGGTGAGAGGACTCACCAGAGACAGAATGGGGAGCAGAACAGGCAGATCTACTGAAATACACTGCTGAGGGGAGCAGCGGATGAGACTTGTGGATGAGCTCCTGAGCCTGGTATTATACTCATACTGCAGTGGCTGCAGATAGCTTCTTAGTGCTGAGACTTGACTCCTTGCACCACCAGGGAGGCCCCAGAACCATCGTATTTACAGCTACTCTTCTAGTGTAGGATATGCACATTGGAGTTTGGAAATGTCTTTTGTAAGAGAAACATTACATTACTAATTTGGCATTCCAGAGGAGTCAGCTACCTACCAGCAATCTGAGAATCAGTCTGTCGCCTGGGTACTCTGCCTGAAGGGCACAAGTTGGTTGAGGCATTTGTGGTAGATGGGCCAGTGGGACAGGAAATCATGGGGAATGTCTGCATAGAGTTTCGGTGGGTCCTACCTGGGTCCTGAACCTCTGCTTTTGTCTTCACAGCCACTGGAGGAACAGATCAGGATGAATACAGAGGTGAGTTCTTTAAAAAGGTCATTTTAAGGAATGCTTTTCTCATACTGCCTCTCACTGTTTGCAGTATGGTGTCCTCCTCTTTCATTTTTTTACTGTTTCTCCTTCCCCAAATGTTTTCTCTCCCTACAGAGCTTTGAGAAACATTTATATAATCTTGAAAACATTTCCTTTCCAACCAGCAGATATTCTTATGGCCCTTAACTTAACAGCCTTTGTGAGTTCTTATCTGCGTCTGTCCAGCTTCAGTTAAAATTTATCTACTATAGCTAATCCTGAAACGTCTCTCACAGACAAGGGGTGGAGTGGGCACTGTGGCATGGGAAGTGCTGGGCCTACTTTGTGTTGTTTTTTGGACACTTAACTCTGCTTATTGTGACTTTCCTTGCATTATTTTCTTGGTGCTTTTACTTCTACCATGCCTGTTCTTTGACCCAAAGATGACTAATCTCTTTGTTTTTTTCTTTTGATCAGTTGATCAACAATTTCCATGTCCAGCCTAGATCCTAGGGTCCAGTTTTCAACTACTGTTGTGCTGGTATCTCCGACTTCTTTTTCTTTTGTCCTTTTTAACCATAATGGTATACTTACATGTCCACCTCAGAATGGTAGTCTTTGGTGAGTGGCACAGCTTTATGCTGTTTGCAGCTGACAAGTGTCTCAAAATCATGATCTGAGTGCTCAGCACTGCCTGCTAGTCCCATTATATAACCCCAGGCAGTTTTCTTTCTCATTGTCTGAACAACCAGGCCCAGTCTTCATCATTCCCTTCTCACTCTTAGCATTTGGATCATCTTTTACTTTACAGAGAAAAATTGGACTCATTAAACACCATCTGTCTCATTCCTGCCTCCCTGTTTGTCCTGTTTATCAGTGAGTCCACTCTTGTATTTCAGTGTTATCAATTATGAAATCACTTTGATTTTTGATTTAGCATATTTGAGTTGTTTCTCCTTTTTTTTGTGAGTCAGTGAAAGTTTTGTGAATTTTATCTTTAAAAAAAAATAGCTCTTAGTGTTATTACCTTTTCCATTATTCTTTTTTTTTTTAAAGGTTTATTTATTTTTATACAAGAACCAGGGTGCAGGCCAGATGTGCGGGTGGGTGAGAGGATTCACCAGAGACAGAACAGGGAACAGAACAGACGGACTGATGAAATACACTGCTGAGGGGAGCAGTGGGCGAGGCAGGAGAGGTCTGCCACGCCATGTAGGACCCTCGCTAGCTGGCCTGGATGGAACCGGCACTGCAGAGGCTGTGGACAGCTTCACAGCACTGCGCTTAACCGGCTGCGCCACCAGGGGAGGCCCTCCATTATTATTTTCATGTTTATTTCATTTATTTCCACTCTGATCTTTGTTTTTTCCTTCCTTCTACTGTTTTCTTGGCTTCATTTTTTCTTTTTTAGCTTCTCTTTTTTTTTAAGTTTCTTGAGCTGTACTGTTAGGTTTATTTGAGATTTGTTTCTTGTTTCTTGATGTAGGCATTGCTATTAACTTACCTTTTACAGCTGTTTGTGCTGCATCCCATAAGTTTTGTAGATTTTATTTCTCTTTTCATTTCTCTCAAGTCATCTTTTTTCCCCCTTTCTTTTAATATCTTCTTTGATTCACTGGTTGTTCAGTAGCATATTCTTTGATCACTACATATTTGTAAATTTTTCAATTTTATTTTATAATTTCTATTTTAGATCACTATGATTAGAAAAGGTTCTTGATATGAATGTTTTAAACTTTTTAAAGAATTATTTTGTGGCTTAAAATATGATTTATACTGGACAATGTTCTGTGTGAGCTGCAGAAGAATGTGTATTCTGTTGTCTTTTCTATGGAATGTTTTCTATGTCTGTTAAGTAGCATTAAGTGGTCTAACATCATTAAGGTCAATATTTCCATATTGATTTTTTTGTATGAATAATATATTCATTGATGAATGTGGCTATTAATGTCCCCTACTACTACGGTGTTACTCTATTTCTGCCTTTAGATCTGTTAGTATTTGCTTTATATATTTAAGTGATGCTAAATAGGGTGTGATGCATAAATATTTACACATACTATGTCTTCTTATTGGATTTACCCTTTTGCCATTATGTAATAACTATCTTTATGTCTTTTGATAATCCTTGTCTTAAAGTCTGTTTTGTTTGATGTTATTATATCTATCTCACATTTCTTGTTACTTATTTATTTATTTATGCATACAAGAACTGAGGTATAGGCCAGAAGTGCGGAGGCTGAGAAGATTCACCAGAGACATAGTGGGAGCAGAACAGGCAGACTGAAATACACTGCTGAGGGGAGCAGCAGGTGAGACAGGAGGGGTCTTCTGCACCCTGTGGGTAGCTCCCTGGCTGGCAAGAGATCGAACTCATACTGCAGAGGCTGCAGACAGCTTGGTAGTGCCATGCTTAACCCCTTGATCCACCAGGTAGGCCCTCATTTCTTGTTTTCCATTTGCATATGGGATATCTTTTTCCATTCCTTCACTGTCAGTCTGCACTTGAAGTGAGTCTTTTTTTTTTTAAGAGGAGGACAACACATTCACTTTTATTTCAATCAAATCACAATTTTTTCCCTCAACTGCTGCAAAGTGCATTTATAATTTTATATTACAAGTCCACTTTTAAAATGTTTCCTATGATATTAAAGCAAGCCACTTTTTTTTCCCCATAAGAGGGAAATTCCCAAATTCTTTCTCAAGTAAAATCTCCTTTCCAGTGAATGGTAATACATGAAGTTACATTAAACCAGACCCTCAAAAGGACAGCCAACAAATCTTCCAACAGTTTATTAGAAAGAATGTAGATGTTTATCAAACTGAAAAGCTTCTGTACAGCAAAAGAAACATTAACCAAAACAGAGCTATACCCCACTGATTGGGAAAAAATCTTTACACTCCATGTAACCGATAAGGCACTGATCACAAAGATATACAATGAACTCACAAGACTCAACAAAAACAAAGTAAACAGTCCAGTTAAGAAATGGACATAAGAACTTAAAAGACACTTCTCCAAAGAGGAAATGCAAATGGCCAACAGGCATATGAAAAAATGTTCAACATCCCTTATAATCAAGAAAATGCAAATCAAAACCACACTGAGACACTACCTTGCACCAGTTAGAATGGCCCATATCAAAAAAACTAGCAACAACAAATGTTGGTGAAGATGGGTGAAAAAGGAACTCTTCTGCATTGCTGGTGGGAGTGCAAACTGGCCCAACCACTATGGAAAGTTGTCTGGAGGTTCCTCAGTCTACTAAAAACGGAGCTACCATGGGGCCCAGCAATTCCACTGCGAGGGATCTACCCAAAGGACACAAAAACCTTGACAAAAGAATGCCTGTGCCCCTATGTTTATTGCAGTACGATTTACAATAGGTAAAACCTGGAAACAACCCAGATGCCCAGAAATAGATGACTGGAGCAAGAAGATGTGGTATACACGCAACCTAACAACACCTCAGGAAAGAAGCACACCACAAAAAGAAAACCACCCCCCAGATTGCAACGACAGTAACTTGGAAGAACTTCTGAGCCTTCCAGAAAGAGAATTTAAAATTGCCATGATTAAAAAAGTGACAGAAGTCATAAAGGAAAACAATGATCAGAAGAAGGAAATTGAGTCCCTAAAGAGGGAAAACAATGGTCAGAAGAATGAAATTGAGTCCCTAAAGAGGGAATTAAAAGAAATGTAGGAGATCAAAGAATTAATGGAGGAACTAAAGAACTCTGGGAAAAGCAATGAAAGCAGAATAGATGAAATGGAAGAACGAATAAGTACTCTTGAAGACACAGAAATAAAAAGAACCAAAACAGAAAAGGAAAGAGAAGTACGAAGGAAAAAGAACGAAGAAAGACTTCGGGAACTATCTGACTCCATGAGGAAAGGAAATATAAGAGTTATAGGAATTCCAGAAGGAGAGGAGAGAGATGTAGGAACAGAGAAAATATTCCAGGAGATAATTGAAGAGAACTTCCCAAATGCGAAGAAGGAGCTGAAAATTGATATACAAGAAGCAAGAAGAACACCAAACTTCCACGATGAAAGGAAAAATACAGCAAGACACATACTAGTAAAGCTCCCAAGAATCCAGGACAAGGAAAAAATAATGAAGCTGACAAGAGGGAAGAAACAGATAACATTCAAAGGAAAACCAATCAGGCTGACATCAGACTTCTCTGAAGAAACACTACGGGCAAGGAGAGAGTGGAGGGACATAGTCAACAGACTCCAAGAAAACAGATGCCAACCAAGAATACTCTATCCCGCAAAGCTCTCCTTCCTCTATGAAGAAAGAATAACGACCTTCCCAGACAAACAGAAACTCCGGAATTTCATTACGACTAAACCCCCATTCCAAAAAATACTACAAGGAATCCTAAAGCCAGAACCTCAGAGGGATGAATAACAACGAAAGAAGACCAAAAAAAAAAAAAGTTATTAAAAGAATAAATAAATAAAATCAAAGGAAAGACAAAAACAATGGCAAATACAAATGCTAACATATCAATATTAACTCTAAATGTAAATGGACTAAACTCTTCAATAAAAAGATACAGAGTTGCAGCCTGGATTAAGAAACAGAACCCAACCTTTTGCTGTCTCCAGGAAACACATTTAGCTACAAAAGATAAAAATAGGCTCAAAGTTAAAGGATGGAAAACAATCCTACAAGCAAATGGACCAAAAAAGAAAGCAGGAACAGCTATACTTATATCAGATAAAACAGACTTCAAACTCAAAAAAATAAAAAGAGACCCAATGGTCACTACATTATGATCAAGGGGACAATACTTCAAGAAGAAATAACACTCATTAACATATACTCACCAAACGAAGGAGCACCAAAATATATCAGACAACTGTTGTCCTCTCTGAAAACAGACATCAGAGAAAACACATACGTAGTGGGAGACTTCAACACACCACTATCAACAATGGATAGATCAACAAGACAAAAAATAAGTAAAGAAACTAAAGCTCTAAATAAGGACCT